AAGTCTTAAATCTAAACACAAAGCTTTAAACACATATTCCATTATTTAAAGCAAAGTTACTCTGCAGCCTTATGGAATATATAACAAATATACAACATATGATCACCCCAAGCGAGTCAAGCTTTCAACATCGCCTTCTCAATGACCAGAAAAATAAAATCATGTCAAATGAGCAATAACTGCATAAAGCAGTTCCTCCATACTCAACCTTCTACATTTAAATTTAGGGACCAGAAAAATATTAAGTATTATTAGCATGAACAACGCTGAGTGTTTTCACACAATTAAACATTTATATTGCAACTGAACTAATCTCTCATAAGGCTACAAGAAGAAAGTAAAATGATGTTCCGAACCTGGAACCACTTAGCGTGGCGTAGAGCAGCCAGAGCGTCAAGGCATTTTTGCCTGTCCAAGACGTCCGGTGGGTCTTTCACCATACCCGAGGTTACATCTAAAATGGATTGAATTGGCAAAATGCAGTGAGGAATGGGTGTTTGACCAGGTGCGCAAGACACTTCCTTAAAGTAGCTTCAATGTCACACATGCCATTTAAAGCTTAAACCCTTGAACAACAAATGTAAATGTTCAACAAAAGCCATTCAATTAGGATTAGGGCATCAACCCAGTATGAAGATCAAGAGCACAGGATACTTTAGCTCTGAGGTTATTTTCAAATGCATTGCAGATTATGCAATGCGTAGTACTTCTTTATTTAAACTAACACTGGGAAAACACATATCCCCTAAAATTAAATACTGAAGGAAGGATGGTTGGACACAGTGCACCAGCACAGAGAGCACAAGACAGAAGGAACACAAAAATCCACTTCAACCAAGTAGAAACATTCAAACTTAGCTTCTTGTACATTTTAATGGTCACGTGTTATTTGGGACCTAATTTTAAAAGAAAAACTAAGTATAACAAATCTTAAAGCACTAGATTTTAGTAGTGATGTTATTTTTTTCATACCGTAAACTTGAAATTCTTTTGCTTTAAAAACCTGACTAAAAGAATGTGAAATGTTCTTCAATATTACAGAGTTCCATTACTTTCTAGTACTCTCTTACTTGTATAAATAAAATTCCTCAGCCCATAATATATGTGCTCCAATATATTGATATTGGGATGCAAGGAAGGATCTGAAAAGGGACTGCTTTACTTAAGATTCGCAGGAAAAAGAAAAGTTAGAAACAGTTTGAAAAACAAAGCAGAATGTTCGAAAGATAAAGAAAATATAGTAGATCTTGTATATTGAAATGTTCAGAAAAGGATTTAATTACCAAGCTGATTGCTTTGTTACCAAAAAGGAACAGACTACAGTCCCTTTTGGAAGTGGTTTTATCAATGGAACTGGAACCACAGAAAAATGTAGAATGGTATACACAGGTTACTTAAAAATTGTACAGATGTAATGCAATGATCAGCTTACAAGTTCTTTGGTTTAGTAATTATGAAAATGGCTACCGTGACTAGTAACAAAGTATATTGGTGGCATAACTGGTGATACACCAGATAAGATGAAATAAAAAGCTCTCAATAGCACTCATTTCATGGGAGCTGGCTGTATGGAACAATATAGTTTACTCCAGCAAGACAGAAATTTAAGTAAGTCAGAGAATAAAATTTTTTAAAAAATAATATATTAAGAAAGACAGCTCTGAAACCACCTATTTTACACAAATGTAAAATAAATAGTACGATACTTTACTATACAGAGAGCTAAAAAGCCATGAACGAACATGGTGGTACAACTTTGCAATATAATAATAAAATTTAATCTGAAGTACTACATTCAGATTTGAGCATTTTTAATAGGATAGTCCCATTGCTCTGCACAGGGCTAAAAGGAGGAGGATTCTAAAATAAGAACGAAGCTGAGAAGAACATAGGTATCTTCTCACACAGATATTCAAACTTATGGACTGTATGTTAAAGCGGAAAGATGAAAAACTGCACTAACAAGGCATTTACAGATCAAATGAAGACATTTGAAAGCAGTATTTCCTTAAAAACGAAACCAAACCAAAAAACCCTGAAACCTGTACAAGAAAGGTGCCAGGTAAGATAACTGATGAAACAAGTACAATCTGGATATGAGAGACAAGAAGGGTCTTTAGAGAAAACCCACAGCAGGAAAAAGTGACAAAGTAAGGTTGAGAAATTAAAAATAAAAATATGGGTTGTTGGGCCTAGCAGCCTAATCAGTCAATTATTTATAGTCTTCTAAAACTAATATGCAAATAGGTGACACTGTGCAACATTTTAGCACAGTAATTCATTACATAATAATTTGAAACTCCAATTACTTCTAGTTCTGAAAAACTTCAGTTTGGAAAATATTGTTACTAAAAAGAATTACAGTTGAAGCGCACAGAAGAGAATCTTACTCAGTGCTCGAAATGTTGATCTAAAATGTGCTACTAATTGGTATCAGATGAATACTATTGAAACTTAAAAAGACTCTGAAAGTCAGAAGTTGCCAAGGCACCTATTGCACTGAGAGTACACTGACTGAAAAATGGATCAATGAAACTCTTGTAATATTTAATCTGTGGATTTTTGCATCTGTTTCACATTTCAGGATTAACCCCTTAAAGACTATTTAACTAAATTCAGATGCCTAACCTACCACCCTGTTAAGCTAAGACAAAAAACTGAATTTACAAAACACAAGCACGAATTCTTAACCCTGTATAACTTATTACTAGCCTAAATATAAGGGGTTAATCTTCAGTTAGACATGCTGTGTCCACACTACCTCTTCATTAAAAGTTAACAGGTATATCAATTTCGTAAGTTTTATTATGGGAAATACATTTTTACCCAGTCAACCATTCAAGACTAGTGTGAACACTGCTTAATTCTAGGAAAGAGACAAAGACGAAAAGAAAAAAAAAAATCACAAAGTAACAGTAGATGCTAGGACTATGCATCCAAACCCCCTCCTTTGTAAAGCATGGCAGGTGTGACACTGAGCTTTAGAAAACCTTGGTCAAAAATCCTTCCGATGTCTTGGCAGCAACCCCTGACAGGAATCAAGTCCCTCCGCTAGAAGGCTTTGGACCGGGGCTGTTGGCTAAGGATAAAAGACACACACGCGCACACATATATGTGTTTGTAAGTACGTACACCTTGTTTGCTGAAGGAAAGATTCCACAGCAGGGGTTAGAGCACTTTGAATATATCAGATTCGGTAAACTGTCAAACGCACGATACTGTAAGAAACAGTAGCTATGCGGTTAACAATTTTATTTCACTGTATTTTTTTTTTAGCCTTTTTATCATGTAATGGGATTATAACACATCAAACATGATTCTACTCCACGTGCAAGTCTCAGTCTCATCTTTACTCAAACTGGTTCTTCCGGTAAAGCCTTCCTTACCACCTGAACTAGCTCCCCAAGCGGGCTAAAAAAATAATGAAAACTTTAAACCATTGTAAGACACAGAGCATGAGAAGCTGCAGTAAGAAAAAACACAAACACATACTGTTACTCTGCAGCAAATAAGCTGCAGTCTTCGTAATAAGACCTTCTTTGCTGCAATAATTTGCAATTCAGTCTTCTATTTGCTCTAGTTTCAAAAGCGAACTTTTCTGCACATCCATTTTATACTGCTCAGTGTCTTGAAGAGAAATCTAACTTGATTTTGCTTGCCTAGAGGCGGTACTGCATTCAGCAGTGAATCACAATGATCATTTTAACTCAAGTGTGGGTCAGACAAAAATACAGATTTGTTTCCTTTAGGTGGCATAAGCTTAGGGATTGATGGCAGTAATTTTGAATTTTTTTAGTCCACATCATAGAATTTTAGGCCAGAAACAACTTAATTGAAATTGAGTATTGTGACAGGAATCAATATTGCACTTTTGCATTGTACATTAAGAAATAAACATGGTATTTAAGGTTAACTTCATTTAATGGTTAATCTAATTTAATAATCAAATCTTTTAAGTTAAAGTATTCTTTATAAACTTAATGTGTGAAGTCTGATTGAGCACAGACAAACCAAGAGTCCTGTTGCACTTAAGATTGTCAAAAAAGAAGTAAAATTGATTGGGTGTGACAGTACATGTACAAAGCCTTTATAGCTAGGAATAATATGCACTGCTTAAAAATCATATACAAAGCACTCTTAAATCTTCAGAAGTCATCCAAACCAGAGAATGCATCTTGAAATTTTTCTTTCTGATTACGGAGGACGACTTTGTTAACACAGCTTGCTTACAATGCACTAGTCACAGCTACAGGACATTTACTAATGCAATATAAAACCTCAAGTATTTTAGAGGACATGTAATGATGAGATGAAATAAAAAAACCTCCATGGCTTATATAAATACGTATATACACAAGCACATGTATACATACACACATACAATTTTTTTCAACCTGCATATGAGAAGTGTTAAGATAGCCTCAGATTTCCTATTTGTAGGTTCACTGTCAAACACCAGAACCCTGTCTGCCACGATCTCTTTCAACTATGAAAATACGGGATTAAAAGGAAACAAAAGTTAATTTTATCTGACCCGTAAAGACAAAGAACCAATGTACTGCAGACATTAATCATGCTTGTTGGCTTAAAAGCTTTTGGAGCTTTGAAAGTGTTACAGAACAGACCCTAAAGCAACACTGCTGGCACCAGAGAAACTGTGGACTTCAGAAATGTAAATTGATTTACAAGCTCCACCTTCTGCTTCAGCTCAACGACAAAGCCATTTCTTATTGTACTAGTCTGGGTTTGCCAGTTGGATAGAAGACTGATTGTAATACCAGGAGCCTAAATATACCCAAACACACTCCAGACCAAAAAGCAACCTCAGAGAGCTGGAAAAAATCGCATTGTCTTTTTAAGTTAGAAGCACTGTTACCATCAAAAATATTATGAAAGTGTATTTTAAGTGGTGCTGCTATTTGGAATGTGTAAGTGATGGTAATACTTATCCAGTTTATACCCAAAAACCTGTGATTTGATTTTCTAAATCTCTTAGGGCAAGACTGCTCTAGAAAGCCAGTTTATAGCCACTTGCTATAAAATACTTAGTTTTCCACATAATTTTAAAAAAGTGGAAAAAATAGTCAAGATTGTACCTTTTCCAGAAAGCTGAGGTTGAACATAGAGTTAGAAATTTTAAAAATTAAATAAACGCATCATATAAGCATTTATTTTAACCAACTGTTCTCTACCAAGACTGGTTGTTGAAAAACAAGGTTTCGATCAAATACGTGTGCCAGCATGTTGCCTTCCAGGACCTTAATGCCATCTTAAGCAGAACAGATAAACATAAAAAAAAATGGGCGAGAAAGAAGTAACATCTTTAACAACTTCCCAACCTCCATCCCTCATGTTCTCCTCCCGAATGACTGGAGATGTCAGTGTGATAGTAACTTGCATTTTGGGTTCCACACATGAATTTAAAATTATTGCTGCTTCTGGGACTGCACACTTGATATCATATTTCTCAGGACTTATTACCTAAATATTGAGAAACAGAAATTTCCATTAGCATATGGCCAGTGAAAGTATGGGGAAGAAAACCGATTTCAACATAGTCTTTTTAACAGAAAGACAGAAACGCAATATAATTATATGAAGCAGATACCTCTGTATTCAAACAAACCACAGTATACACAATTAAGAGAGAGATATATATATGGACTTGCATACTGTTTCCAAATCATTAATGAAAATACACAGCAGTCATCAAGCATGCAAAAGAAAATAAAACTACCCAGAAAGGAAATTAATATACAAGTAAGTTACATAACAAGAATGTTGACGGTGTTTGAGATAAAGAAAAGCCTCATTGCCACTTAAAATGTCAGCTGGGTATGTTCCTCATTGGAACATAGCAGCCTTTAAAAAGCACACAGATGCAGCGGTTTTCTTCAAGCTTGCAGTTACAGGATGGGTACTGCTAAGTACATTCTGTACTTGCCTGTTACAACATGCTAAGAACAAAGAGTAAGATAAACACCCAGGAAAAAAAAGTAAGAGTAACTAACAAGGTGGTTATTCTGAATTGCTTCTTGCAACTAGATTTAATAAATCTAAATACCCCCAAAAGGAAGCTGTAGGCACCTCTGTCACCTTCTTCCACAAACTAGAGGAACAAGTGGCTTCTCCACAAAGCCAGACCAAGATGTACAGTTTTTAAATTTTCTTCTGTTCTGTTACTTCAAACAAGAGCAAACTGAAGATTATTTTCTAATTAATCTGATCCCACTAAAGCTCCTACCACGCCACTGATTCTGCTGAACATTTTACTAGACAGTATTGAAATACTAGCGCTGTGGCAGGCATTCTATAACGATGGTGGACAGGCTTTGTTCAGCAGAGAGGAGAGACTTTATTCTATACTTCCATTTCTTGTGGAAATACAGCAAATGGTTTATATGAATTCTGCTGAATGGTCTAAGAGTGCACATACATTTTTTGTTTTAAAAGGGTCAAATTAAAAAAAAAACCCACACAAGACTTAGTGAACTAGTTATGGAACTACAAAGCACTGACACAAACTGGAACCAAGATGTAAGTACAGACTGTCATTAATGAAGAACTTTGACCTTCAGGCAGCAAGCTTCCTCTAACACTGTACAAATTACCTCTATTGCTGCTGGCAACTGGGTAATAGTCTTTCTTAGGTTGATTTCTATTTCCCAAGTAAATGATGATTGATACTTCACTGCTAATGTAAACACCTAGATGCTTGTATGGACACAATATACAGAAAGCAAAACATGCATCAGAGTCCCTGAATTCAGATGGAAACATTCAGAAAATGGAAAGAAATTTAACTTGAGCTATGAAACATGGCACAGTGAGCTCTGTGGACATTTGACTTAAGAACAGATTTTTACAGCATCTTTACAAAAATTCAAATCCAAAAATCTAAATTCTACTTACTGCAAGTTGTTTGGGAAGACTTTCAGCAATACGACTGAGTAATGTCTTTGAAGGCTTCTCAGCACATAACAAAACAAGATTGACGTTTCGGTCTCCACGGAGTAGCAAACCTTTAGCCAAAACGCCTACACGTAAAACTCCTTTCAAAGCTCTGTGAATTATAGTTAAAAATTGCATTTAAAATAACATAAAAAACTTTCAATGAATCCTGAAGATAGAAAAGTGCCATATACAGTATCAAAACCCAAAGAAAAGAGAATCCCTGGAAGCAATGATAACAGCTTAAGAAAAAAATTCGAAACAAGTAATGAAATTCTTTGTAAGTAATAAAAAAAAATACCTGTCTTTACTGCCATCCTTTTTGTCGTCTCCTTCTTTGTTCTTGCTTTTTTCATGATCAGTCATGTTGTCAGAAACAAGTTTCAAAGCACGCTCAGTAATAGAAACAATTTTTTGGACTGCTTGAAGTTCCTCCTCTGTTGGATATATAGCAGCATGTTTGGTCATCACATAGCGGTCATCAGAGGAGTCAGGGCGGCGAAGCGGCTAAACAGATGAAAAAGCGTATTTCTGAAATTTGGATACACTTCCAAGTTCACAGATGGCAAGTGACCAAAAAACAACATGTGGCTAAAATACAGAATATTCAAATCTCAAAATTGCTGAAATGTAACAAAACATGAACTGAAGTGTCTGTAACAACTTACACTGGTCACAATCATTCATGTCTGAAGAACCATTAAATGTATCAAAATTAAACAAATTACGAGATCCCAGGATCAAAAGTATCTCCCCACCATAAATATCTATTGTCTTTCTGTCAACTAGGAAATACTTGCATAATGCTGCAAAATAAAGCGTCCGTGACAGCTTTCATAGAATCAGAGAAGAATTAAAATAGGAAGGGACCTCAGGAGGTCCTCTAGTCCAACCTCCTATGCAAACCATGGTCAGCTATAAGACCACATGATGTAGCTCAGCTTTAGCCAGTCAGTTCTTGAAAACCACCAAAGATGGAGGCTGCACGTTTGTGTGAAAAAAATTATTTCATATATTCAATCTGAACCTCTTTTGTCTCAGCCTAAGCTGGTTGTATCTCGCCCTTTCATCATGACTGTAAAGACCCTGGCTCCATTGTCTTTATAATGCAGAGGTATTAGAAGGCTATTACGTCCCACTGAAGCTCTCTCTTCTCCAGGCTGAAAAGCCAAGATCCCTCAGTCTCTCCTCACGGAACACGAGTTCCAGACCCATGACCACCCTGGTTACCCCACACTGAACCTGCTATCATTTATAGTACCCTTCTTGTACCGTAAAGCCCAGAACTGAATGTAGTGTTGCAGTTTGGGTCTAATGAAAGCTGATCTCTTCCCTTCATCTACTGATTATGCTCCTGTTAATATAACCCAGGATGCTGCTGGCCTTCACTGCTTCCAGGGCACACTGTTGACTCATGTTCAGCTTGCTATCTGCTAAGATCTCCAGATCACCCAGCCTGTCACTCCCCAGCCTACATCAGTGCAAGGGCTTATCCCTTCTCAAGTGCAGCATTGGGTATTTGTCCTTGCAGAATTCCATAAAGTTCCTGTCGGTCCATTCCTCCAGTCTGCCTAGGTCCCTCTGCATGGTGGCCCTGCCCTCAAAGGTATCAACTGTTCTCCCCATCCCAGACTGATTCAGCTTCACGCCATCTGCAAAACTGATGAATGTGCACTCATTCCATCACCTTTCAGATCACTGATAAGGCGCTCATGAGGCAAATCCCACGATAAAAGCATGTGGTACTGCACTTGGTACTGACCTCCAGGTAGAGTACAACCCACCACTAACCATCTAGGACTGATGGTTCAACCACTTTTTATCGATACATTTGTCCACAATTAGATAATGTTGTATAATGCAATTAAATAAAATAAAAAGTAGTACACAAATCCAGAGTGACTTGTATTTCAAAAGAAACAATATTGTCTTCAAGGCATCCTTTTTTCATTTAGTGGACTTATTTTGGAAGACAAGTCCACCTACACACTTTCATTAGTGTACAATTTCTTCATTAAGAAACACTGGAGACAACTGAAGTAGCACTGAAAAATTTAGTACTTAATTTAGTTTTTAATTGTGCTTCCTGGCAAGTATGATTTCTTTGGTGTTTGTTTTTTTTTTCAAGTTAAGAAACTCACAGCTGGTCTCCCAGCAGGCCTAGAGGTCCTGGAGGACCATGAGGATACCCTCCATCTGGTATTCTGCGACGGTCATCCCAGTGATGCTGCTCTTCCTCCATTCTCCTCCAGTACATGTCCTCTTCATATCGCCTGAAGTGCATCAAAGTGTTCTCTTTATAGCAGTTAATACCCGCAACCATTCTAAATATATTCTTTTGTGTCCTCACTAACTCACTTCTAGCAGTCATAAGCAAATACCAGTAAACTCCAGAGAGAAACTGAAATGAATGGTAATTTTGAAAGTGGGTCTGAATTTATAGCAAAATAATCCCAATAAGTCTGCATTCCTCAGAGGGATTGAATGCTAACAAAAGCCCTAGAGGAATAATGACAACTTAACTTAAAACAAGGCAGTACAAAATTCCCAAAACAAGTATTCAAAATAAGTAACTACAGAAGCAGAGTTAGTTTTAGCTAATCTGACTGCAGCTTTGTCTCATTCATTGACAAAATAGAATGCATTACCTCATTTCCATCCTCCAGCGTTCTTCCTCTTCCCGCCTTCTCCAGTATTCTTCTTTCTGCATCTGTTTCCTCATCTTCTCTTCTTGAATTTTTCTTGCTCGAATACTGGGCTTTACTTCTACTTGTAAGTCTGGGTTTACTTTTTTCTAGTTCAGAAAAATAATAAATGAAATGTTTTTCCTCCTGTCATCTCAATGTTAGAGTTTTTCTGACATGTCTAACACACACTACTCGTCTATGATAAAATCAAGGGGAGTAAAATACAGTTTTAAAACTGCATTGAATGAGTAGTTGAAGAAGAAAACTGTGTCCAGTATTTTAAAGGAAAGAAATAGCAACATATTAAAATTAGCATGAATTCCCTCTTCACTTACATGAGAACAAAGCATTTCAAGATTAAAACGTTACATGAAATACTAAGTAATTTGCTGTTCATTCTGCAGCAGGATGATTGATGCATCCTGTTCCTGAAGGGTCCTCATACAGGGGCATGATCATGAGTTAACGAATAAAGTTTTCTGGCAATTTTTTATCTTCTTTCATACCTCTCATATAGGTCTGTTTTAACTCCTATGACCACAGTAGACTCTCCCAATATAATCTTATAATAATCAAAATGCACACCATATGTCAGTACAGGTGTCTCTCCATTCATGACTAAAAAATCTGCAGCACTGGTTTCTCAAATGTCTCCACAAAGGGTTTATGTGGTTTATCCTGGCAAAAATGTTGAGCACTACTATTTTACACTATTTGAAATTCACAGTAGACCACATAAAGAACCTACTGTTGCTTGTGTACGTTGCACTGTATTTTAATGTTGCAAAGGTTGCCTGAAAGCAATGTTCAGTTTAAAAAAACACCCAAATGAAAATACAGCTTCACAGGTGCATTACTTCTTTAAAGACTATACTTCCTAAGAAATATATTTCTCTACCTTTTTTTTTATATGTTGTTTACTCAGAGTACCTACTTTTGTCTAGTCCTTAAATGTAAGAACTTGTAGTCAGTCAGCTGACATCTGGTGGATTTTCAGATAGAAGCATTAACATCTCTACTAACCTTATACTGAAGTCTGTGCCGCCTCCCTTTTAAGTGCATCTCCTTGGCATTAGGATCATTAAAACTGCATTCACAAAGTTTACAGTGAAAGCGGATCACCTTTCCTTCATCGTTTCTTACCTGGAAAATAAAGTTATAACACATTTGGCTTTTCTTTTTTTTAAAAAAATCAAAGCTGATGTAAAAAAATAATCTAATTCAGTGACACTGGATAACGTCTACCTGTCTCAAAACATGCTAGAAACTTCACATAATAACTGAAAGAAGGCAAAATAGAACTTTCAATTCTGACAGACACACCATTGTGCTTGGTAATGAACAAAGTTCTTCCATTCTAAAGAATGCACAGCTTTAAACCTGAGCCTGAACATACTGAGTTGAATAATTACAAACCTGCAAATCATGAAAAATTTACATCAGACTTCATCCACATATCTCATGTCACCCACATGAAGAATGCCCCACTGAGCACAAAAGAAACATGCACAATGAAAAAATATGAGCGTATGCACAAGCCTTTGCAGGCTCAATGCCCTGTCATTCTTATCTTCAGGAAGGACCCAGGGAATTACTGGTCAGTCAGCCTCACCTTGATCCCTGGGAACGTGATGGAGGAGCTAATCCTGGAAACCATTTCCAGGCACATTAAGTGCAAGAAAATCATCAGGAGTAGTCAGCACAGCTTCACCAAGGGGAAGTCATGCTTGATAAACCTGGTAAACTTCTGCAATGAAATGAATGGCCTGGTAGATGAGGGGAGAGCAGTCAGTATTGTCTACCTGGATTCAGTAAGGTCTTTGACACAGTCTCACCATAATACCCTCATACATAAGCTGTTGATGTATGAGCTGGATAAGCATACAGTGAGGTGGATTGAAAACTGGCTGAATGGCCAGGCCCAGAGGGTGGTATAAGTATAACGAAGCCTAGTTGGAGGCTAGTAACTAGCAGTTACCCCAGAGGCCAACACTGGGTCCAGTCCTGTTTAATATCTTGATTAATGATCTGGATGATGGATGGGGCAGAGCATACCCTCAGCAGGTTTGCTGATGACCCAAAGGAGGGTGGGAGGAGTGGCTGATAACACCAGCGGGTTGCGCGGCCATCCAGAGGGACCTCAACAGGCTGGAGAAATGGGCTGACAGGAATCTCATGAAGTTTGACAAGGGCAAGTGCAAAGTTCTGTACCCAGGGAGGAACAACCCCATGCACCAATACCTGCTGGGGGCCACCCAGCTGGAGAGCAGCTTGGCAGAGAAGGACTTGGGGCCCCTGGCAGACACCAAGTTGAATGTAAGCCAGCACTGTGCCCTTGCAGCAAAGGCGGCGAATGGCATCCTGGGCTGCATTAGACAAAAGTATTGCCAGCAGGTTGAGGGAGGCGATCCTTCCCCTCTAACTCAGCACCGGTGAGGCCACACCTGGAGTTCTGTGTCCGGTTCTGGGCTCCCCAGTCCCAGAGAGGCATGGACATACTGGAGAGAGTCCAACAAAGGACCACAGAGATGGAGAAGGGACTGGAGCGCCTCTCCTGTGAGGAAAGGCTGAGAAAGCTGGGACTGTCTGGCCTAGAGAAGAGAAGGTTGAGGGGGCATCTTCTTAATGTATACGTAATAAAATATGTGAAGGAAGGGTGCAAAGAGGACAGAGGCAGGCTTTTCTCAGTGGTGCCCCGTGACAGGACCAGAGGCAACGGGCACAAACCAAAACACAGGAGGTTCCCTCTGAACATGAGGAAACACTTTTTTACTGTGAGTGTGACTGAGCCCTGGCACATGTTGTGCAGTCTCCGTTCTTGGAGATATTCAAAAGCTGCCTGGGCACAGTCCTGGGCAACTGGTTGTAGGTGGCCCTATCTGATTGGGACTGGATCCCCAGATGACCCCCAGAGGTCCCTTCCAAACTCAGCCATTCTGTGATTCTGTTTTCTGTTGAACAAATTTTCACTACAGCATTTAAAAAATAATTGACATTTTCATATCAATACCTCCTCCACATAGTCATGGCCCACTGGCTGGACATCGCTTTGCAAGGAAGCAAGAGTTGTGGGAGTCACTGGTTCAGCTGCTGTGTCTGGTTTTACTTCCTGTGTTTGTACTGTAGCAGCAGGAGTTGTTTTAACACTTTCAGCCGATTTCATTTCTTCCAGTTTACTTCCTGTTGTCTGAAGCTTATTGCCACCTACAAACCAAAAAATTTAAAACGTTAACTTTCATAAAGTGGGAATGTGATTACACATGATGTGCAAACTGAAGACTTTATCTGCAAATACCATTGTTCTGGCCAAAGCATTATCAGTCTTAAAATTACTTAAAACTTAAACGTATTTTAAATACAATTAAATTTTTTGAAAATGAGTGTAACAACATTCAAGATATTTAAACACTTGCCTTTTTATTTTAGCAAGAAAAACTTTTGCTTTATACAATTTTAATTTTCATTATTTGTTTTCATGCTTTTCAAAAGAGATATGACTGAATGGGAACAACTCGGCAAATATATTTTAATAATCTCTTTTTTGTCATCAGATATATTTTTTTTTTGTCAATGGATCCGAAAAAGTACTTCAAGACCTTATAATGTTTGTACTAACAAAGGTATTATACTCTCAGTGTTGCAACTGCATAGGTCTTTCCTTCAAGAGCAGGATATCTTACTGTGGAACAGCTGTTTCCCATCTGTAAGTGTCTGTCTGCTCATTTCAAAAACTTCCACTGTTAGATTTCCACAGTTACAAGGATATTTTGGTTGCCCAGTTATCAACTGCCAACCTACTGCAGGTTGCCTTAACAGCCCGGGCTGTACTGAAATTAGGACCAACTGGACTATGAACTGCAATACTCCGGGAGGTATTACATAAGAAACCAAAGGTAGGAGGCTTCTTCTGAAGGTGGGAGAAGCCTCCAAGAGAGGTCAGGTGGAGACAACTGGGCAGAAAACACCGTAATTTTGAAGCAAAACTTTCATTTATGTTCTTATTTTCACCTATCAGTAATTCTCTCAAACACAGTACAGCTACTCATGCACAAAGTTAACTAAATACATTTGTATTTGCTGCACTAAGTCTTAAAAAAAAAAATTATGGAATAGGTTAGGTTTCAAAATAAAGACTGACTTCTGTACTTGCCAACAAAGTTTATTTTCGGTGTAGATATTTTCTTTACAGCTATATTAGCAGCGGTTGAAGATGGTTTGTTGTTGGACGCAGTGTTAAGTGGTGTGTTTGCCGTGGGAGTAAGAATTTTCACTGCAGAGGATGCAACAGAGGAGTTCACAGTACTGCTGCTAGTTGCTATATTTGAAGCAGAGGCAGTTGGTTTGGAAGCAGATGTGGATGTTGAGGAAGTAGCTTGGGTAACCACATTTGGTTCAGTTGAAGGAATGGGTTTGCCAAGTTTTGTGTGCAACTTTACTACCTATAAGAATAAAAGAAATTAATAATATGATCTTCCTGGAATAACTGTAAAAAATTATGTAGTAAAAGCAGCATTATAACTAAAAAAATCAATAGAATTAAAAAGTCAGCTATTGCTTCTTTACAAAACATGATCTTGGCAAAAAGAAAAAAAAAAGACAGGTAAAAGCTCTTGTAATCTGTAACAAGGAAACAGTTAAGAGTTATCTCACATTGCTTATTTCCATTAGAAATTCAGACATTTACTAAAAAAGCTGTGTAGATGAGAACAGAAAGCCAATAAACTCAACAAGCCAGCAACAACTCAAGGGAACATTTTGCTTAAGCTATTTCAGTGTGACTCTTTTGTTGTGTTAAGAAAAATAGAGAATTGAAACTATAAAATTATAGACTTCAAAGAATCAATAGCTATTACATAAAGATCACAGAAATAGGATTAATGATAAGGTGCTCACAGCTGTGTAACCACAGGTGTGTAAACAATTCCAAGACTATGCTGTACTGCTCATTTGTCCATTGTATAGCCCCCTCCATGGTTGGATTAATCCCGAGCTGAGCTAATCAGTAGATAGAGATAAATGAGACCTCAGAAGGTAGGTGAATAATTAAATAAGCTGATTAAAGTTAACTGATGCAGACAGAAAATAGATTAGAAGCGAGGTATGTCTATAATAGAGACTAAAAGGTTAAGGTCTTAGAATTTAGGAAGTTTTAAATAGAATACTGAGTTTTTCTACTAAAAAAGAATGAGAAAGAAGACAATGACTTTTATAACTTTGAGACGGACCAATGGATTCTAAGATCCTTCGAGACAGACCAATGGATTCTAAGATCAAGAAGCAGAACTGAGACAGAACGTGTTGATCGATGGAAATTAATGGACTTCTAGAAGAATGTAGAATTGAGAACCTAGTGGAAACTTACAGTGAACTTAAATCTATTATGTAATTGTGTTGGAAGCATACATAAGATGATAATTGTAATACCTAGTTGCCACTTACTGAGGTGATGGCCCAACTCTGAGTTGTTAATAAAAAAAGCAAACCTAGAGATACCCACAGCCTGGTGAAATTCTTCAATAGCTGCCTGTCTTTACTCTCCTTCCAAAAAGTATAGTAGATTGAACTATTTTGGTTCCAAATAATATTTGTAACTAAGAGTTAAATCAGATTCAACAATAGTGTCTCTTTCGATCACTACATTTTAAGAGTATTCATACTGAAAGACTTCCCAGGTTACCTAGCAGAACTAAAGAGCTTCCTTAGACAAAAGGTTTTTGTTTGGTTTTTTTTTTAAAGCACATCTGCAGAGACAGTTAAGGAGTATGTGAGACGCATATTTCAGAGCTCTTTAGTATCTCATAGAAAGTAGAAAGGTACATGCTTGTTCTTAGAAGTAATAAGCAGAGGCCCTTCCACAACATGCTTGAGATAGAATAATACTTCTTTTTGGTGACAGCTGACCATCACCTGAAAAAGCAATGCATGTAGTCTGTAAGAACAAAACATGCAAAATCAAAACTAAAGACTGGGCTTAAAAGTAGCAGTAAAAATATACAAATCTGCTAGACATGCCTTTAATGCAAACACGTGTACACAATCATGATACACACACAACTATACATACACTTCTTAGGTTTCTGTTCGTATTTTTTTAAGTATGTTCCCCATCAGAATACAGACATATTAGTGTCACATAATACTATAACTTGGAAGTTCAAGCAACTTTTCAAAATTACTTTTTTCCAGCAGAGTGCACAAGATTCTTCAGTGTATCACAGGAATAGAGCCCTTTGAGATTTCATTTTTACATTGACAACAACTTACATTAGCAGTGGTTAGTGACTACCTATGAGGAAGAGAAAGCTACATCCTAATATCTATGGATAACAGACACTATACTACATATATCTATGGAGTTATTGGGCACAACCCAAAAATTTAATGGCTCAACTTATTAATGGAAGAAAGAACACTAGGCAAGTCTATCTAAATTATAATTTTTGCTCTTGTACTAACAAAAAATGGTATTGGGAAAATTGTTTTAAATCTGCTAAGAGATTTATTTATTTTAATAGGAACGATGTTAATGATGCCACTTTGTACAGTGTTCTGAGATGCAAAGAGCTATAAAAGCTGAATATTAATATTGTATTTGTTACTGACATTAATCTTTCCAGAGCTATGAGGAAAATCTGTAATATCTAAACAAGTATTCTACACTGCTATTGCATTTACTGTTGTATGGCCAAATTTAAAACACAGGTCACAGGGGTTCATAGTGCAACCCAGCCGTTACTCCAGAATGCCCACCTAAACTGCACCCAAACAGTAGCGAAAACACGCTTAGAAGAAGTCCTCCAAATGTGCTCGTTATAAAGTCTACTACAGGACATTGTCCCTTGCTCCCATGTGCCAAGTTTCTTTGCAAGAAATACCAAGGTGCGGGGGGATGCAGAATAGTCCTGTCCCTTGGCACCAACTCAGCTTACAGTGTTTCAAAGTGCATTGGAAGTTTCATAGCACCAGATAAATTAGATGAATGTCAAGAAAAGCCTTCAAAAGAGTTAGGGGACACAAGCATGCTACTACATGTCCTCATTGACTCTTTTCCCCATTTTACCCTATACTGTCTACAATTTACATGCTTTCCCCAATACATCCTCTTCTAATTGATGCTGTGGCAATACTTTTCGCCCGTTCTCCCAACAAGGCCCTTCTAATAGTGAGCTTAAAGATGTTTGAAACAAAAAGCAGAATTAAACGTCTTAAACAAAATAATTCAAATTATATTGTTTCTGCGTATTTTCTCCTCTCTAAGATGAGAGAAAACAATGGGAATAAATATATGACTGACTTGTATAATAAGAACAAGAGAAAACTCTTACTTTCTGATGCTTGGCTCCACGGATATGGGCAGCATAAGCATCTGCCCCTGTACAAGACACATCACAAAGCTCACAGCGCAACTGATTCTGAGTTCCACGAGCAGAGGTGCTGCTGTTATTGGTGTTCTGGGAAGCTTTCAATGCTGCTTCTTTCTTTTTGTGTTTCTGGCCTTCTAAGTGTTCTTTATAAGTCTGTTTAAAGTAACAATACACACACAATTAAGCTGTCTTTGTACTGCTTGTTCATCATTCACGTGAATACATGTAATACAGGACATAGCATAAAACACATGCTTTGTGTAAGAAATACTGCCTACACTGAATATTTCTTCCATGATATGCTCCAAGGCATTAGCAGGCCACTTCTAAGACCAAGAGATTTTATTCTCCAGCACCAGGATTCCACTTTTAGATAATACAATATGGGCTCTTCTCCTCTAACTTCTCAATTCATTGGTCAAGTACAGGTCAACAGATATTACATTGAAAACTTGGTATGATCAGAAAATTGCAGTTTCCTGCATTGCATTCAATTATTCTTGATTTTGAATCTTCCTCAAACTACAAGACCACAGTGATTAAGTGTATCCAGAGAACTAAGAAAAATCAATGCAACAGAAAGTAGTGCATAAATAAAGCTGTGCTGCAAATGAAATGCAGATAATTGATATTTGTTCCTCTATGGCAATTCACTGGCAATCTAGAGAGCAGACAGGGTGGGAAATAATGACAAGTTTACTTAAATACCAAGAACTGTTTAGCCAGACACACACATAAACATTCTGCATGAATTGGTGTCTGCTTTCTATGCACTTGTAGCCACTGTGAAACTAAACTGGGATGCTGGAATAGAATGAAAAATAAGTCTTCAGGTTTACCATTCACAAAATTTATGTAATTGCATAGTTTTGAAAAAAGTATTTTCTAAGAAGTTTGCTATGCTAAAAAAGCAAATCAAATTCAAAGTTTAGAATATTTCTGAAGTCCAAAGCACAGCTGAAGCTTCTCAGTACAAGCTAAGGGGATGTATCTTTTCGTCCTCACATAGGAACTCTTTCTATAGTAGCACACATTTTCATTTAATTATTCCTTTAATAGAAGTATAGAATCAGATCTTTAAAAATTAATAACTAATCTTAAAGGGGTCAGTTTTTTAGCTGAAGAAAATATGACTAAAGCGTATAGCAGAATATTACATAATACAGGTACCTGTGGTCCAGCACAGCTGATCTTACAAACATCACAGTAGTGGATCTGGGGTGGTTTGGGAGGTTGTTTTGGTTTCAGTTGCTTATTTTGGAATGGTGCCTTTTTAGTAAAGGTGGTCCCTGTCCAAGCAGCTGTTGCAGCAGCAGCAGCAGCTCTGCTGCTGCTGCTGGTAATAGGACGATGCAGCTGAATACACTGCGGCTTCATAGCCGGAATAAGAGGTACCTCAAAGATCAAAATAAAATAAATGTTACATCACTGTACATCACGTATCAATTACATAATACACTAACTCAAAACATGTTGCATAATAGAGTGGGGGGGGCAGGGCATGATATAAACAATTTATTGAGATCTTGTTAGGCAGTCTGAATTTTTTCTTGATGTTTCACAGTACACAAATACATAGCTACCAATTTTTTCAGGAACATATTTGATTTTAGACACATCTTTGCAGACACGCAATTATGTTAGATATATCAAAGCATCCCTAAAGAATACGTGAAATTTTCTGGTACATCTCCTAAGACCAAGTATGATGTAACAAGAATTTTAATAAGAGATTTATCAAAGGCCACTTGAAGTAAGCAGTCTTCCAGAACCAGATTTATTATTCAAGTTTCAAAATGGCAAGACAGGCAGACATTATGTAGAGGAAGGGGAAAAAAAATGAAGATTAAAGACAGAATGGCTAGTGCTATTACATTCTATTTCACTGGTTTTAGTTGTTTAAGTGCAGAGAAGCTGCTTGCTTGCTAAATCCTGTCTACACAGTCCTTGATTTCCAGTATCAAAGTTGAGTAATCAAGGAAACTGGGCTTTCATACCTTTGAGCCAGTTTTCCCATAAACTTTCTACATCTACTGGTTCAACTATTTTAATCCTCTGATCAGGCTCTGACTCAAGGAAGTCTTAAAATCCCTTTTTAAACAGAAAACAAAACAAAAAGTTCAAGGTAGCTATAATATGCCAGTTGACTACCATCTGGCCTTAAAGTTAGTACCTTTTAATCTTTAACTACTTTGTGGATTTCTAATGTTTGAAGGAAAGTCTGTTTTTCATCACCTATTCTCCTCCCTTTTTAGGTCAAGACAATCCAAACTTACAAGATTTGTACTGGACTGCTCCTCCCTGTCTCTTTAACTGCTGTTTGATGGCAGCATGCTCCCTTCCAAGTGCCCTGGGTAATATTTGTGTGGATGTGTTTCCTGATTTTTCCTATCCCCCATCTTTTCGCTCCAAACCTTACAGTAAGTCACATAACACCATGCACATAGCAATACCAACACTTCGTATATTGTCACATGTAACAGAATAGCCACATACAAACATCAAACCTGTTTTAAAGATACAGCAAAATATTTTTCCATTATAATGATTTAACTGGTTGATACTTCTCAGTAGACTATGATGTAATTGAACATGAATGCTAAAATTCTGAGTATTTAAAGCCTCTCCTGTTACCACTGCAAAGACCTCACAACATAATATGCAAAAGTCTTACCAGAGTAAGTAACCGCTGTTGTACTGTACGTTGCACTTTGAGTATAGGATGGAACAACAGTAGCTGCAGCTGCTACTGGCTGCACAGTAGAGGATACCGGATATATAGAAAATGTAGTTGTTGCTGGACTTGGGGTTGCAGGTTTTATAGCTGTCACTTGTCGTGTTTGCTGGGCTTGGGTATACTGAGTTGCCCCTTGGCTATATCCTGCTTTCGGAGCTAATTGGGACAGAAAATAAAAGTGTACAAACATTGATATGTTTTAGCTGAATGAAATGCAATCCATATTAAGTGATGCATAATGATATGCTGGGGAATAAATGCCTAACAAGTGGCTTTTGTTTTAGGGTTTTTTTTGTTTGATTGGTTTTGGGCTTTTGTGTTGTGGTCGGGATTTTTTTTTTTTTACAGTCATGGTTATACATGGAGTACCATGTATCACACAACTGTTTAATAATGTCACAGCTCAAACTAGTAAGCCTCAGATTTATTTATTTATTTTTAACTGTGCTGCCATGCTTTCAAACAACCTTCTCGTTCAATGGCTTTACTAGAGTACACTGAACCAAAGTACACATAAACTTCCCTATTATTTCTAATTAAAGTTAAAAAAAAGTAAATAGTATTTATGCTTTGTAGCAATCATGATACCAATAATTAAGGAACTACATACATTAAGTAACTAAAGAATTAAAAAAGACAGTATTTCTAACCAAGTTATCATCTGAAGCCACCATTGACTATTTGAACTTACTTCAGCAAGGTTTCTCGACAAATCGACAAGTTTGCTCAGAAATATTTTCTGAGTGTATTTAATAAGAACCCCAACCTCAGAGATAGTCAAGAGTTTCTACACACTAACAGAGGTTACATGACAAAACTAAAAAACAAACCCACCACCAAAAAATCTGGATAACGTGAAATATTCAAAAAAGTATTTTTAAGGTATTAAAGATTAAAGTAGTACACAGACTGTGTATATGTCAGCAGTTTGAATCATGCAACCCACCTGTCTGGTAGTACGATTCAGCTACTGAAGGTTGAGGCTGGGCAGCAGCTGCCCCAGCCGCCGCAGTTGCTGTTGGCTGTTGATAGTATTGTTTGCTGTCATATGCTACAGCTGGGGCGGTGGATCGAACATAAGAATAGGAATCCTAAGAATTCGAAAAGGAAAAAACCAGCAAATTTCTCCCTTAAGTATATATTTGGAGCAATAAAAGTCATTAGCAGAGTCAAAGCAGCAATGTATTTTCTTCTGGTCTACTAAAGTAGATTTTAAAAAAACATTTACAGATACAGTATATACAAATAAATGCATTAAAGAAATTAAATTTATGTTTACAGATACTTCGGGCCTGAAAACAACCCTCATGGTCTTTTTCAGACTGAATAGAGGAAATTAATCTCATGCTATTAAATCACTTTCCCTAACAAATTATTTTTGTTACTGAAAAGCAATCACTCTCACTAGTTTTTCATGACTATATCAGATTACATTTCTGTAAAAAATATGAAGCGAAAACCCGCTACAGATCTCCACGAAATGTGAATTTCTACAATCCACAATAGAGTCACAAGTTTACAAACATGACCCTATATTAGCTTTAAAAATCCCATCATTAACAATACTTTTCTTGGTTATATTTTTGGAGTATGAAGATGATACACCAAAAAGTAGAAAAGGCTTTAAAAGTATCAACTAGTTGATTAGGGAACCATATCTAGTCTATAATGCCAAGGCAAGTAGCCCATTTGACACCTCTAGAATTCAGGAGATGGCTAGTACCTTAGAAGGGGAGGGCCTGGAAGCCACTGTATGTATGTACATATATTCTCTCATGCTCACCATATTTATGGTAAAGTGTAGAGTTCATCAACTGAGAGGTAGCAAGGCATGAACTACTATAGCTGAAATGTACTAATGTACAAAAATATAACAATAAAAACTCTTTTTCATCCAACCTGTGTAAAATGGAATTATATTTATTTAGTTTAGGGGACTCTTTCCTGTCCGAATGCATCTAATAACGGACCTCATAATTATGAGTACATGTGCTACTGGAAAGAGTTGTATGTTACAATTCATTCATGTAACAAATTATAAAAGAATTGAGAACATGCAGCCATAGTATAGTCCTTTTAAACAAATCAAAATACTATAATTAGAGTCTAGATAATGCCTTGATAAGTTAGGTACTAAAAAGTAAAAAATTTATTACAAGAGGCGTACTATTTCAGCATCCAAGATGGAAACAGACAAACAGTTCCCTTTTACAGAAGCCTGTAGCCACATGACCTTAGGCCGTCATCTCAGAAAGGGTACCCAAAAACTACCCAAAGGGTAGTTCCTCTCCTAGGGCTATCTTCTATCCTCGTATGTTTGATACTAGAACTCCTGTGGCACCCAGGAATTTGACAAGGGAACTATTTCTACCTCCACTGAAAATTTTTGTGCAAACAGTTTTTTCAGCTACATCAGTTCCATGACCCAGTTTACTGCACACTGCTTGAACATTTAAGCTAGCTGAGACAAGACAGTACTACTTTTTTCAGCAGTAGTTTCACAAAATCACTTGGAGGTAAACATCAGTTCATTGCTTATTGTATGAATGTCTAAATCTCAGCTCCTGCAGCACTCGTGCTGATAATCCTCTATATGGGCGACATGAGACTGCAGCTGCTTCACATTCTACCAGTTTTTGATACTAAGTAATTTGAGTTGTACTCAAACCGTGATTCACAGAACAAAAAAAATGTAAGTATCATCACATTCTCTTATTCAAACAGGCTTCCCCCCTTTAATGTACCATTTAAGTTGTCCAACAGCAGTAATTTTTTTTGGAACCCACCTGGTAATTCTGCGTAGTGACAGGAGGTGGTGGTGGTGGAGCTTCTTGTTGCCTCTGTGTATAACCGTAATCTGTAGCTGTGTGTGCTGTAGGATAGCCTCCATATGCAGCAGCGGGGGGGGCAGAGCCTGCCGTAACGGTGTGCGCAGCGACTGGTGCCTGGTGGACAGTGTAGCTAGCAACTGTAGTTGGATGGGAATAGGCTACACCCGAAGCTGGCTGCTGGCTATATTAGAAAAAGACAGTAAGTTAACTAATTAGATTGATCCAACATACTAAGCTAATACCTGCACATTTCAAAATCCCAAATACTTGTCTGTTCTACAAACAGGCCTGGAGCACCTCTCTATGCATACACTTTAATGGCTTCTATTACCTCTATTCCACTCCCATTAAAAAGGCTGTATCGTTCTGAAGTTTCTGTGGATGCACACATATCATGCAGGTGATGATTTTCTTAGCAAGGCGAGCATCTGTCTTTTTTTTTCCAAGCAGTGGAACACAAGTCTTTCATTCAAAGGAATACAGAAGTCTTAAACTATTACCTTTTCATGACCAACAAGTTTTGAAAGGCTTTAGTAGTTCTTCAATAAAACTGACACACGTGTCAAATTAAGAAAAATACTACTTTTCTGTGAGAGCTCACTACTGACCTGCACTTGCAGCAAAATCTGGAGTTTTGCAATAAACCATATTAAAGTAATGAGATTTTAAAGACTTCCATGAAAATTAGCTCAGAACTCTTACATTTAAGGCAGAGACATTTCAAATGCACACCTCCTGTTAGGGGACTTCTCACACAAAAGTTTAAAATAATAGAAGCTGGCCCCACTCGCTTGTGCAGAAGTCCACTGCCTCACAACATGAAACATCAAAGGAACTGGCAGTCAAATCGAGCAAGACGACTGCTACAGAGCTCTGGCAGTCTTCCAGGCACATGCTGTGACTAATCTGCCTCTCTAAAATTTGCAGTTAGGACATTAACTGGAACAATGATATGAAGGACATTGCTGTAACAACAATATGAAGTGGAGATTGACTGATTATTCTGAATTTTTTAGTACACTTCCTGCACTGCTATTCAATGATATTTAAGAATCTCTATAGGGTTTCACATCTCCATTGCACTATTGAAAGATAATTAAAAAATAAGTCCATGCCTGACAAGGAGGTAGTATCCCCTATTTTTCAGAAGAAAATAGAAAAATGAAATCTCACTTGAAGCAAACGTGGCAACTGAATTAAGTGGCACAATGGAATTGCAGTATGGTTATGCTCAAACCCAAAAGGAACAAGTTACAGTATTTTCTCCTAAAGACTGCAATATTCTGTCTGACATAACTACCTTTTAACTGCACATACTATTATTTTTGCAAAAGACTTTCCCATAACTCCCTCATGTTTAGTGACTTTTAGAAAAACTGTTTATGTCTTTTTAGTTACAGAAGAACCCATTAACTTAACTATATTAAAAAACCCCAAAACATTCTTACAGCAGAAACAGGGAAAATTGTATTACTATTGGACCTCCATGTCTGGACTCTGCCTTCTTCCCATTATAGGCCCCTGATTGCTTAAAAGACCACTTGCATTCCATCCAAATTTAATTCAGTTGTGAGTTGTACTCACAATTATGTTTCATTTTATTTTCAATTTCTTAGCATAACAAAAGAAGGAAAAGACCTAAACCACTTCGGTGTAGCTCCCACCACTGCTTGAAACAATTCCTCCTGCTTGACATACATCAGAAGATTCTCTGTTTTGTCAGTTTAAGGTGAGAAATTGGACTCCACCAGAAAATTCAGGAAGTCTACTTTATGATGGCAAAGTGAATGACAGTTTATAAAATTAGGCTGCATTATCTATATAACTAACACTACAGAAGCGTAAAATATTCACAAATTCTGAAGTAACTATCAATATCATGTATCGCTACTAAAAACACATTAAATTAAGAAAACAGACAGCAGATTGCTTAACTCAGACTGCAGCTGAACACATCAACGCTCCAATACTGCCAATAAGGAAAGTCTTGTTCCACCCTATCCCCACTCCTACTCTTCCCTCCTCCCATATACCAAAGCTATGCCATCCTTTTCCATCCCTAGTGCTAGTTCTGCTACTTGTCAAGCTATTCAGTGCACTGACTTAACTCATTAATCTAACAGAAAACAATGGCAATCTTTTTTTTCTGGGCTCATTTTCTAACATGGTAGAAATGTTGGAAACACTGGAGGTCACAAAACAGGTCTGCTGAGTGCCAGAACCCATACATGTTATACATAGGAAAACAGGGGAAAATTAAGAGAAGAACAGGGACCTGTCCAGGAAGCATTAGCTTGGCTTTTCCAAGTCTCATGAAGCCGTGCTTAAGTTACTACTACAAGATATGATACAGAGCTCATAACATGCTATGAAATAACAGCACCAGTCAGTTTATCAAAGAAAATGCTTCTGTTCTCAGAACACATATGATTAAAGCTATCTGAGTTTTCAGTATTTAGTATTGTGAAGAGATTATGATCATTATCAGCAGAACTATTAACAAGATTCTGGTACAGACAGTTTCATTTCTTCTGTGCTATTCTTGTATCAAAATTCCTTGTCATGGTATAGAATTAACAGCCCCAATCATTTGATTTTTAAGGCTAATACAGTTCTATGACCATGTTTACTTTAGCAAACCTGTTCCCCTTGCTTCTGCAACATCATGCAGAGCTAGTGATCGAGTTTGCAAGACTGCAAGAAAAATATTCTAGAACTGACTGCTTCTTCCTTTTTAAAAGTTATGTTACTTTATGTTACAGAAATTCACGTGATGTCTTTTCTAAATTTATGACATTCCTTTTCCTCCCCAGTCTTACCGAAAACCTTTTAACATTATGATGACCAGATATTTTCATATAATTAATTTACATAAAAATATTTTTGTGCCAACTTCTTCATTTAACTTACAGAAGTTTTTATCCTTGTTTGGTGACTAGTGCCTCACCACATTTGCTGAGATGAACTTACCTCCTCCTAGGTTATTTTGCCAGACTCCCTATTCCACTCATCTTTCTTGTAGTTCATCTGTGCACCTATCCTAGTATTATCTATTCTTCTTTCTTGACTACAGATGGCAAGAACCATATGCATCATTTCAGATGAAGTTTCAGTTGTGCTACCCGCTTTGCTCCAGACAGTGCTTTCTTTCCAAACAGTCTAGCTTCCTCAGAGCAGCTTCTTGTAAAGTTACCTGTGTATCGACAATATTTTCCTTGCATCAAATATCATGACATGCCATACTAATATAAATACTAAGACTCAGAACCAAGCCCTAGGGAACTCCACTGCAATTATTCCTATTTGATAATCACTCTTCTAATTCTACAAACTACCTCTACCAGCTCCTCTACAATTCTTTTCCTAATCTCTACCTTAAGTAGTAATTTTCCATAGTGCACCACAACAAGTATTTCAACGTAGCCCCAGTAAATAAGACTCCAAAAGATTTAGGCACGTGACCAAGTTATTAGAGCAATAATGAAATAAAGTCTCAACTATGGTAACAAATCACATGCATGTTCTTCAACACAACAAAGAAAGTAATTCAGTTTAGCTTAATGCCCCAACACAGTGGGAAAAAGTTGAACCAAATTAATCTGTATGTTCCAGAGGCTAAGCACATGCAAACAGGTACTGCAGCACAGCAGAGAAGCTAACTCATCGACCTGGTAACATAGCTAGTTTTCTTCATAGATCAATTCCTCTCTTCCCCCAAAATAGAAGTCTAATATCCTTATTAGCATTTTTGAGTTGAAGGAATTCCAGCTCTCTTCATATGAAAAGATACTCAGTCAAATTTGCTTTATTAACTAGGTGGAGCTTAAAAATCACAGAATATTTTAGATTGAAACAAAGACTTGAAGGTCATCTGTTCTAACCCAGTGCTCAAAACACAGCTAATTTCAAAGTTACATTAGGTTTCTCAGGGCTTCGTCCAGTCAGGTTCTAATCACCTCCAGGAATGTAGGCTGGAAGACTGCCCTAGACAACCTGTTCCAGTGTTTGAGCACCCTCACTGCAAATAATTTTTTCCTTAGTTTATAAAAGCTTCAGTTTCAAAAGCAAATGAGCTCTAGACCAACATTTACATAAGGCTAACCCAGTTTGTCACCATTCAATTCAATGTAACTTCATATTACAATTCTTACAGTGTTTTAATTTACTATCAAAATAAACATCATTCTGATTTTAAGAAACTATGGGTGAAGGACTTGGCAGCTTCAAATAGTACTCTGCTGTATTGCTATTATATTACCTCTTCCGCCAGAAATTTTCATTCAAAAAGAATACATTTTATTCATACCATATGTATTTCTTTAGCTGATCATAATAACAACAGTGCTTCCCCACCAAGCTGACTTTAGTTTCTATTTTCTTGGAACAACACACATTCTTTGATGCTCATCATCCAGCTCAGATTTCTATTTCACCGCGTTTTCCCTATCCCAGCCACAGCCAGGTTACAGTGTACATGTTGCACTCAACTGTCCTGCTCCAGGTTCTGTAGATGTGTGTTTCAGTCAACTACAGAAGGTCATTTCCAGCACCTTACCTAATGTGTTTTATCTCTTCCCTACCTGCTTTAAACTGTTACACGCATATCGCCATTTCACCATGCTCTTTGCTTCCTCCTCCTAAATAAGCTTGCTTCTATTCAAAAGTTTTACATGCCAGAGTATACCTAGCCTGCCCTCATCTTCCACATCCTACCTAAGGAACTTCAAGATCAAGAGAATTAATTCCTTATTCACAATTATTGTATTACAGTGCATGAGAAAAGTATTTCTTATAAAACACCTTTGACTCAAATCTTTGCATAACACCTATTCTGATTTCTACCGACACTAATGATGGGAAATAGAATATTTCTGATGCATTCGTATCAGAACCAGTGCCATACATTATGAAATTCCACTGTGATATTAAAACTACTAGACAAGACTGACTGCAGTGAGCTGTGACTGTCTATCTTTCTTCATACTCATCTCCAATTCCATGTCAATGCAATTTTCTGGGGGTGAGGTGCCACACTGGCTCACAGTCTTGCAGAATTCATCCCACAGCAAAGGCCACAGCAAAAATTAGGCTTGTCCACATTGCTGTCTGGTGTATGAAACTCCTTTCACTAAGTGAAAGTACTTTTTCGCAAGACAGGTGCGTGTTTTGCCCTGACACGTT